CACACACATACTCCACCACCACCACTCACTGTAACCAGATCTTCAAATTTCATAGAGAAAATAGAAACTATCAGGCACCAGCTCCCCAACAAATCTACACACCTACTGTCTTAACTAAGATACAGGTCAAGTGGCTATGACAAGAAAGAGAAAGTTGTAGAGCCTTAAGATAGTTTCTTTGTCACACAGAACCTGGAGTGGTGAAATGGGTCAAGAGCATAGTAGACACCAATTCTTGCATTTGTCACTCTGCCACCCCTGGTGTGTTACCCTCACTGCACGCCTGAGAATGGCTTACCCTAACATCCACATTCAGCCTGCAGAGACAGGCAGTGAGGAAGAGTCCACGCCTATCCTTGAAGATCTTGATCTGGATGTTCTGGAAGCTGCAGGTCTCATGTCCACCTGTAACCACTGCCTAGAATGCAGTCATAAAACCACATGTAGCTGCAAACAAGCCTAGGAGTAGAGTTGTTATCTGCCAGCCATGACTTCTTTTCACATACACATGTATTCTCTTATATCCACTTCCTCTGACAACTGAATCTCTACTCCCATCAAGAGTTAGTGGCCTCCATCACGTGCTAGGGAACCCATACCTTCCTCCCTTCTCACTTTCTCCCATCCCACTCGCCAGCACCCCCACTCTGTTTTCTGCCTCTACAGCCTCACCAAAATGGCTCCTCCCCAGCCTGCCACGGATGTCCCAGTCACTGAGCGCAGAGCACATTTCTCAGTCCTTGTTTTTCTTGGTCCCGGAGCAGGAGTGGAATCAGGCTCAGCATTTTCTTCTAGAAAATCTCCTCCTTTCTTTTGTATGATGCCTGCTCCCTCCGTTCTCCTCCCACCTCTCTGTCTGCTCCTCTTGGTCTCTTCTGCGGACTGGTCTTCCTCTATCCAGCCTTTAAATACTGGTTCTTTTTTATTTCCAGGCTTCTGACCAGGTTCTTGATGTCTTCTTATTTAACACTCTCTCGTTGACGCTATGGTTTGAACCCTTCCTATGCCACCTGTATTCAGCTTCCTCTGGGAATTCCTACCTAGATCTCTAACAAGCATGTGAAACTTAAAGTGTCCAGAATGGAACAGATTCACTGGTAGGAGTTGCTGTCTGATAGTTACTATTTTCTCTCTGAAGTAGGAGGTTATTTATTATGACTGAAAGATGGTGTGTGTGTGTGTGTGTGTGTGTGTGTGTGTGTGTGTGTGTGATGAAATTAGAGATTTTATGAGTCAAAAATTTTTGAAGAAAATATTGAGATAAAGATGAGAGCAGTATAGTTTGAGCACCTGAATTCTGATTTCCCAAATTGCTGGCTTTAAATAGTGTTTTTTTTTTTTGCACCTAATAGTTTTGTGGCTTTGGGCAAGTTACTTACATTTTCTCTGAGCCACAGTTTTGTTTTTTTTTCCCATCTAAAATAGTGATCAATAATATTGGACCTAAATATATAGCTATTTGTCAAGGTTAAAGGTAATATGCTTGAAACCCTTTTCATCAAAGGATTCCCATCCAGTTACCAGAAAGCTTGTTCAGTTTAATCACATCCTTCTCCCTCATCCTGCACATACAAAAGGTCTCTCGATTCTGTCTCTCTACCTCTTAAAGAGCTCTTGGGTCCATCTTCTCCACAGCTTCCATGACTTTAGTTCAAGCCACTGTCAATTCTCACCTAATGGATGGTCCCATTAGCCCAACCAAGTTGTTCTCAAGTTGCTCTCTCTACCAGCAGCCCCTGCAATTTCTCCAAATCTTTCTAAACCTTAGCAAATAGCCAGTGCTTCCACTTCTTCCTTGCATAGTTTACAAGCATCTGCATTTGCTACCTTCTGAGATGAGAGGTGTGTCAGTTTTTCTATGGCTACCATAATAAATCGCCATGAGTTTGATGGACCGCAGATGTGTCCAGAAGACTGGGTTCTTTGCTCTGGATTCCATCAGGTTGAAGTTAAGGTGTCAGCCAGACTAAATCCTCTTCTGGAGGTTCTTGGGAAATCTCCAAGCTCATTCTTTTCACTAGCAGAGGTTATAGGATTAAAGCCCCCACTTTCTTGCTGTCTGCCAGCAAGAGACTGATCTCAGGTAGCAGTCACTCTGTGCCCTCCTCAAAGTGGCCACAGTGTGTCAATCCTTATACTTCAAATTTCTCTGACTTCCTCTTTTGTTACCAACCAGAGAAAACTTGTCTCTTAAAGGACTCATGATTTGATTAGGGCTAGTGGAATAACCTATCTTGAGGTCTGCTGGTTAGTAAACTTCATTATATCTGCAAAATCCCTTTTGCCATATACACAATCATCATGTTTACAGGTTCCACCCACCCTCAAAGAAGGAGATGGGACAAGAGGAAGCTTCCTGGGGGTCATCTTATAATTCTGCTTACCATGAGAGGGGAAGTAAAAAAAAAAAATCCTAGAGAAATGTTGAGACCTTGAGCTGAGATCATAAGGAATATAGACCTTCATTTGATAAAGAAGGAAAGCTTCCAGAGAGCAAGTGAAAAAGTCATGTAACTGGAGGACAGATAGCCCAAAAATGGACTAGAGGCAGGTCAGTGTGAGAACAAGAACCCAAGATCAGTAGGCCCATGCAGGCCACATAGAGTCTGGTAAAAGGTTTTCTCTGTCCCCAAGGAAAATGTCAGAAGAGAGGCAAGATCAGATTTGTGTATTTTGAACAGATCACTCTGGCTATAGGGTGGAGGGCAGGTGGAAGGAAGCATCAGTTAAATGTGGTCAACCACGTATAAGTGTGGTAGTGCAGGAGACCATGGGGCAATGTCACTGGAGATACAAGCAGATTCAAGGAACACTCAATAGCTAAAATCAACAGGGCTTTGTGATTGATTGAAGACAGGAGTGAGAAGATACATTCCCCAGGAAGCAGACTCTACAACAACAGAGATCACTGTGTAGGGTGTTTAGTAAGCAGTGCTCTAGCAGTCAAACAAAGAGAAAGGGGATAAAAGTAGGATTGGGTGACGGGAGAAGCTGAACGGTAATTCAGCTCCAACAAGAGCTTCAGTCAACCTGATGAACTGTGAACATCTTTCAGAATTGTCCTCTGTGGGGGTGAGGAGGCTAAACCTATATGCCTCTGTATGATTAGTCACTGGATACAGGATGCCCCAGAAAGGGAACATGACCTTGGATGAGCTGGCTTTCTTCAGCTCAGGCAACTCCCAGAGGGGCTGACAGTCCAGGGCTGTCTTCCAGCAGCACTCTCAGCAGCAGGAGAATAAATCCTTCCTTTCTGAGGAGTCTGGGCTTTCTGTCACAGCCTCCACCACAGGGATGGAGGAGTATAGGGGAGTAAGGTTGCCAAGATGATTCCAAAATTTCTGATTTGTACATCTCGGGGGCTGCACTGACGACCCCCTGTTGTCATCATTGGCTTACCTGTCATTTTCCCCACTAGAGTGGGAGCTGCTCAGGCACAGACTGCATCGATGGCTGGTGCACAGCCCTATACCTGGCACATACTTTGCTGAATAAGTGAATGCCTGTCTACTTCTCCTATTTCCACTTCTCACTCCCCCATGTTTCTTCTGCTCCCCAGCCCCCACACCCTACCATCATCCAATGTGGGAAAAGTCTAGCAGGTTATCTGACGCCCCACCTGTGCTGGAACTGAGCAAATAGCAAATCACTCTCCTCCGGTCAGGACTCTGATGGGGAAGGCAGGCGGTGCCAGGAGCCAGCTCCTGCTGGAGTGGAGTGGGGTGGGGTGGGGTGGGGAGCAGGGGAGGAATTCCCCACCCACCTCAGGCTGAGATCCTCCTTCAATGCCCCAGTTCCTATAAACTCAGAGCTTTCTGGACCCGGGTCTCTCCAAATGACTGATTGGATAGGGCTTTCTGAGTCCCCATAAATCAAATCTCAATCTCAGTGTAATCTCCCCTACCTCTCACCGCTAGTCTGGGGACCAAAGAATAGAATTCCAGGTCACACTGGAGTTTCTTAGGAATGGAGGAGAATGCATAGTCAGAGGACTGAAATGCTAGGAGAGGTAAGTCCTGCCCAAGAAGCTGAACCCTCCTCCGTCCTACACATGCCCCCTTCACCTTTGTCTTCAGTGCACCCCAGTGATGTAGCCCCGCTTTGACCCCCTCCCGTGGGAACCTGACTCCGCACTCGAGCTGCTCCACCTGCCCAAGAGCAAACAGCGCGCGCCAGCGTGCCGGGTGATAGTGGGCGCTGCCTGGAGACCACGGGCCAAGCGGCCACTCATGCCCGCGCGGGCCGGCCCTGGAGTGCCACCCCCGCCCGCGTCCCACCGCCCCACCGCGTGTCCCAGGCAGTTCTCCCTGATACCGCAGCAGCCCTTGCCACTCCGGACGCCCTTGACGCCCCAGTAACTCTTCCCCCAGGCAGCCGGTTCCCCTGCCAGCGCTCCCCGGAGATCGGAGCCTGGGGGCAGCCGGCCCCGACCAGCTGCCGCAGCCAACTACGGTGGCAGCGGTGCCCGGGGCGCTGTGGCCGCTGCGGCGCAGTGGGGTACCCGGGGATCCCGCGCGTGCCCCCGGCCTCAGCCGCCACCCATTCGCGCCCTGACTCCCCAGGAAAGATGATAGCACACCCCCCCCCGCCCTGCCCCCGCAATCTTGCGCCTCGCACCTTGCCAGCCACCCCGAATGCCAGCCCCCCACCCCCCAAGAATTCCCTGCAATCTGAACGGTGGTGAAGGGGACTGGGCGGGAAGAAAATATCTAAGGGAGTGAGATCTAGAGAGATCCAGGAGCGGCGAGCCCGGGGACCACCTCTCATCGGGGCGCTCAGCCGGGACCCCGGGACGCCGGGGCCAGCGGCCACCTGGCGCGGGCGCGGAGCCCCGAGCCGGGGCGGGGCGCGCGCCCCAGCTGGGCGGGCGCGGGAGGCGTGGGGGGGCCCGCGCCCAGGTTAGGGGCGGGGCCAGGCCGCGCGGGAGCCCCCGCCCGGACCGCAGCGGGAGCAGGTGGAGCCGCAGCCGGAGCCCGCCCGGCCGAGCTGAGAGGCGGCGGGCTGGGCAGGGGCCATGGAGCTGCCCAAGCTGAACCGGAGCTGGCTGGGATCGCCAACCGGACCCGGGCCCGGGGCTCCCCTGTGCCGCCCCGGGGGCCGCTCCTCAACAGCAGCGGGACCGGCAACCTCAGCTGTGAGCCTCCCCGCATCCGCGGAGCTGGAACGCGAGGTGGGTGCCTCCCTAAGCCCCTTCCACGAGCGCCTTCTCACCGCACCCAAAAACAGTAATAGATGCTCCCCCCCTCCCCAGCCTCTACATTGCCTCCCAGACGCCCACACTACCCCTTCACAGTGCTCCCTGTCTCCCTGACACGTCTGTCCCCCGCAGCTCCCACAACTCCATCCCGGCTTCACACTACCTGGTCAGAACCCCTTTACTCCCGCGCCCTGGTGACACCCAGGGGTCCTGTTCACCCCTAACTCATAGTCTCCTCCAAGGTACAGCGGTGGGTAGACAACGACCTGCTCATGCCAGCCTTTCTGGGTCTCCTTTCACAGCCACAAAGGGGAAGGGAAGGCTGGGGAAAGAGGGGGCTGGTTGAGGGAGGGAGAGCTGTGGAAGGCCTCGATGGGAAGTTGACATTATTCTCTCCTGTGCCCCCACACCCAGCCAACGCCAGTCTTCCCAAAGGAGACCCTGAAACCTGAGTTAGGCTGGACACTGGAGACGACTGCCTAGAGTTTTCACTCATCCTAGGATCCCACTGTTGGAATTCTTCTCAGGTCTTTTCTTTGCCACCAAGAAATATCTCCAAGTCCCTCCCAAGCTCCCTCTCCAACCTGCCTTTAAGGGGTCACCTCCTGTGAGCTGGCTGCCCCCTTCACTATCCACCCCTTGGTGCCCTTACCCTCTCCACCTCGCCATTTGCCCAGTCCCCAAAATGATTTTCACTCCTCTCATCAGCTAATGCCTGCATTTTTTTGAGAGCCCAACTCAAGATCTCTATTTCCCCCTTCTTGTACCTTACTTTCACTTAAATTTTTATTAGACACCTGCTGCTGGCCCTGAGCTGGGTGCTGGGGACTCAGGGATGAGCTAGGCCCAGTCTGGACCCTCATCAGTCCTTAGCCAAGTGCAGAAGGACCACACCAATGGAAAAACCACAGCAGGCGTGGGGAGCCCCACAGGGGGTCTCAATTGTGGGCTCCTCAAGGAGTTGGTGTCCTAGAACTTCATAGAGGGCACCTGGGAGTTGGGTCTTGAAGTCAGGGTTCAGAAGGCAGGAAAGGAAGAAGTGGGTCCAACAGAGGGACCAGCATTAAGCAGTATTAAATAATAAAGGAAATTATTCCAAGTTCAAGAACGGAAAGTGGGAATAAATTATAATTTAAATATTTATTCACCCCTCAAATGAATGCCTGTTTCTCAGACTAGTTGTTAATACACTCTTACTTAGGAGGCTTCATTCACCAAATACTTATTGAACCAGAGGTTGCTCTAAGCACCAGGGTCGTGAATAGAGCAAAAATGACAGAGTTCCTAAATAGGAACTCACACTTGGGTGAGGGCAGTGACAAGTAAGCAGGGAACTGCAGAGCTAAGCGGGCAGCGCCTCCTGAGGTCTTTGGGAAGTGGGTGGTGCACTCTAACCTAGCCTAGCCTTGGGAACTGAAGTTGGCCTCTTTAGGATGTGAAGTATAAATTGAATAAAAATGTAAAAGCTGATGAAGAGTCAACCAAGTAAAGGGGAAAAAATTGTAAAAGCATTCCAGACAGAACAGCTCTGTTTTAAGCATCCAGAGTTTTAAGTCTACTGCATGTTTGTTCAGTGTATCAGTTTCAGTGCCTGACACATGGGCTGAAAGCGAGGAGTAATGAACACCTAGGATGAAGACCAGCCTACGGGTTTTATCCTGAGGGCAATGAGAACTACTGAAAGGTTTGGTAGTACTGCCAGGATTTGCTCTTTGGTATATAGGATGGATTGGAGAACAGAGATGAAGAGGGTGAGGAGACATACTTTTTAAAAGCTATTAAGTTTCGTGCTGGTTCCTGTGAAAGATGATATTGGCTTAACTAAGGTACTGGCTGTGGGGATGGACATAAGTAGAAGATTTGAGAGGCCCTGTTGACAGAATTGATGACTTATTAGAAACGGAGGGGGAAGAAGTCATGGGGTGACAACCAAGTTTCTGGCTTGGATACTTGGATGGATGTTGGTGTTGGGAATCATAACAAAGGAATAGAAAGATACTTAAAAGAGGAGATTATGAATTCAATTTGGAACCCACTGAGTTTAAGTGCTGGTGGGATATTTAGGTGGGGTTGCCAGTGAACTGTTGAGTCCAGGAATCTGGAGCTTAGGGGAGAGGTGTGAGCTGGAAATATAGGCTTGAAAGGTCTTTACTTTAATAAGGCAGTGGAAGTCATGGGAATAGATAAAATCATACAAAGATTGTGTGGGACAAAAAGAAAAGAGGACAGGCCCCTGAAGAAGCCAACATTAAAAACCAAGCAGAATGAGAGTGCATGGAGGACATCCAAAACCATCAGAGGAACAAGGCAAGGAAAAGGAAGGTTTCAATCAGGGTAGGATAGGTGACGTCACATGCTGCTGATATAAATTGGATAAGGTCAGAACGGCATTCTTCAGATTCAAGAAAATGTCCTTAGGTAGAATTATGACTATGAAGACCTGACTCCGGCAGACTGAAGTCTGAGCCATAGAGAGGGGCTTATGAGAACTGAGCCAGAGACAGAACTATCGAGAAGTTCAGTAGGGAGAGAGACAAAAGGAACAAAATAGGATAGTGCCAGAAAGAACATGGGGTTGAGGAAGGATGTGTGTGTGTGTGTGTGTGTGTGTGTGCATGCACTCGCGTGCGTTGGGTGAGTAGGGGCGGGGAGGTGGAGGACCAATAGAAGAAGCAGCATAAGTTAGTTTCTGATGGGGAATGTGTGTGTGGGCGGGGGGAGGGAGACAAGGGTATCAGGGAGAGTCAGTAGCTGGAAGCACACTGACAAAGCAGAATGTGAAGGAGTTTAGAGTACAGGTGCAAACCTGGTCTCACTCATCTGCATGTTGTTACCCTCACACATCTGGATGTAGCCCAAGCTGTCAGAAGTGACCTGCAAAGACGGTTAGCTCCACTCACTCAGATATGACCCCGCACAAGTCTGTTACCCAGCCACACACCAGTGACAGCAGTAGAAATTTGGATGTTAACCACATTACTCTGCTGTAAACCACACAAACTTGAGGGTGACCCCTGTTCACTCAGATGTTACCCACAGAAAGCAGATGTTACCCCATCCTCACTTTAATGTTGCCCATAGTTGTTTAAATGTTACTCATCCATCAGCTACACCCACTTTCATTTTATTTTTATCCACACACAGTCAGATACTACCCATGGCCGCTCAGTTTTCCAGATATTAACCATAGTTACAGATATTGCCCACAAAGTTTGTATTACTTCCGCTCGCCCAGCTGTTACCATCACCACTTGGAGAGTCCTCTGTTCATACACACACCTCTGAATGCCACCCCTGCTTCCTGAAGACATTACCTACAAAATGAGATGCTGTCTACAGAGTAACATTTGCTCGTTCAAACATTAGTGTACCTACTCAGGTATTACCTAAACCTAAGTGTAACCCACACTCAATCAGAGGTTACCTATAAACACAAAGCTGTTACCCTTCTCCAGACAGTGTCCATAGAAATATATGTTACTCTCACCCTTCCTGTCTCGAAGAACAAAGTATTTCCCAGCGCCCACTCTGATGTTACCTGTGTATGCTTGCATGTTATTCTGCTCCCTCAGTTCCCACCCACTGACATTGGGGTGCCCCCATTCTCCCAGCTGTCACTCGCCATCAGTTGGATGCACTCCTGCTCACCACACACAGGTGTTACTGGACATCTGCGTGATGGAATCCATCACACCAGTGGAAGACAGACTGGCGGCATCAGCACCTAAATGCTATGTGGAGTCCTTTTCTTAGAAAAGCCTGTTTTTTGTTTTATGTCACATTATCTGGATTTTTGTCTCATCACCCCAGTGTTGTGCTCATCCTTCTCTGCCATCATTTGGAAAGAACAAATGGAGGTTCTCTAGACCCCAGAAGCAGAACTGAACTGTCCCGGTGTCCTGAGACCCCAGGTCTGATGCCTGCTCTTCCCTCGCTCCCACCAGCTGATGCCCACAGCCAGGGCACGAGTGGCTGTACCCTGGGAGAGGCCCTCTCCCTTCTTCTACCCTTGCTCAGGTTCTCAGTCACTGAGGACACTGAGCTCACTCCAGGCCTGCCTTAAACATACCTGTGTGCATATAAACACACATGTCTACACACAAGCCTTCATTCTGATCGCCTTGGCCTATGAAATTTTAAAAATTTACAGACTATTTTTACAGCAATTTTAGGTTTATAGACAGAGTGGAAAGTACAGGGAGCTCCCAACACATACACACACTGAGCAGCTCCTCTGTCATTAGCATCTTGCACTGGTGTGATATGTCTGTTAGAATTGATGAGCCAGTGTTGAAACACTTGTAATTCTATAGTTCACATTAGGGCTCACTCCTTGTGTTGTAACTTCTGTGGGTTTTGACAAATGTATAATCAGAGTTGTCTGCCATTACAGTACCATACAGAAAAGCTTCGCTGCTCTAAAACTTTCCCATGCCCCTCTTTACCCACCCCCCTCCCTCTCCTCAGATCCCTACACCCAAGATTGCTTTTAATTCATCTTTTTCACATTTCCTAACTGTTCAACAACAAAGTCTTGGTAAGATAACTGTGGCTGGAAATAAGGTAATAACTGGGAACATCTAGTAAAACAGCAAAATCAAAATAGCTGGTCATTTTTACTGAGGTGTTGGCCTTCAGTTTTCAGGACCCCACCCCATGACGTGGGAATGTCACGGAGCAGGCCTGGTCTCAGATACTGCCCCACCACAGTTAGCCCCGTTCAAGGGCGCATGCGTGCAAACATCCCCTAGATCAATAAGAAACGTGCTCTTCACATTTCAAAATACTGTACCAACTCAGTGTGGTTGTTGAATCAAGAATTAGCTGAAGAGAAAAATCCAGAGAAGGACATGAGTGAGTTATTAAAACCAGGTTGTTAAAAGGTTAGGGAGGTGGTGGCAAGGAAACACAAAGAGTGCAAGACAGACCACCAGCTCCATTTTGGGGGGGTTCAAGAACCTTTCTAATAGGGATCCTCTTTCCATAGGTCCTTTATTTTCCCCTGCATGCACACACATATCACACACACTTCTAACTGTCACACAAGACTTTCCTGTGAAGAGGGATCCAGCTTCTAAGAGACACAGATGGTTTGTATATAACAGTAAAAAAAAAAAAATACATTCAAAATCGCAGCCTGTCACACACACACACACACACACACACACACACACACAGATCCTCCAACATGCATCTCCAGAGAAAAAGCTGCAATAAGGAGCGTGCACGCTGGAGCTTGAGAGGCAGAGAGGTGAAGGATGAGTGAGGAGGGACAAAGCAAAGCATTTGTATGGGGAGTGACAAAGAGATTCATCAACAAGCGTGTGTTAGCACCGCCTATATGCAGGCCTTCTGTTGAGTGCTCGGGATATGTTAGGGAACAAGATGTGTCCTTGCCCTCAGGAAGCTCCTAGTCTAGTAGGGGGACATAGGGAATGAAACAAAACATTTCAGTGAGAAATGCAGTGAGAGACAACAGAGAGAAAGGCTCTGGGGGTGAGATTTGTCTGGGAGAAGGAGGCAGCGTGATGAGTGACCAAGCGGGCAAAGTATTTTAGAGACCAGAGCCTTGGCCTCTATTCTGATTCAGCTGCTTACTTGCTGTGTGCTCTGAGCTTGGGAATCTCCTGGAACTCTGACTCGATGCCCACAACAGCTTCTGAATAACAGTTATTGTAATGAGAAAATGGTTTCATTTGGGGGCTCAGGCAAGAGTTAGCCAATGTGTGGGGCTGTGGAAGAAGTTGCTGCAGCTCCATAGTTCCCTCCCTACAATCTGGAAGTTGCTGTCCCTGCCCTCCAGACTCCTCATTCTGAGGCCACGGATTGGGTGACTTGGTTTAATTCAATTCCATTTTGTCTGTGTCTGTGTGTGACCTGGAGGTCCAAAGATGGATCCATCTTCCAACAGACAATGACAGAGAGAATGGGGGCAGCCCTCTGTCTGGCCCAGCAAGGCAAGGTGTGCTTCCTGTGTGCTCCTGCTGCACTCTGTGTGCTCCTCAGCCTCACCCCTCATCACACTGCATGTCAGTTACCTGTTTCTATACCCAAGTGTCCCTCTAGACTGTGAGCTCTCAGAGGGCGGGGAATTTGTCATGCTCACCTCTTTCCTCACTGTCTGGCATAAAGGGAGTACTCTGTAAATGTTTGTTGAGCGAGAATGAATGTTTGGAGATAATTAAAACACAAGGCAGAAAATAACCAGGTCTCTAGCAGATGTGAAAGGAACATGTGTGGGTCAGAGGAAAGGGCTACTAACTCCAAATGAGGTGTCCGGAGAGGCCTCTGGCAGAGGCATTTCTGAGTCTGAAGGATGATGGATGAATGGATATTTACCAGTTAAAGAAAACAAGTTTGTGATGGACAGTTATTGTGGCGGGTGGTTACTAGAGGGAGCATGGAAGAACTTTCCAGTCTGAGAAACTAAGGCAAGCACGCACATTACGAGTGTGCATGATGCCTTCTAGAAACTGAGTCTTCCCATGCAAGAAGGAGGTGGGAGGACAAAGAGGTCAGTTTTCCGAGAACCTGATGACAAGCTAAAGGACTGCAGAGAGTAGAGAGCAGGTAAAGTGGTTTGCGTGTGCGAGAGTGTTTTAGACAATAAGGATAAGATGTGACCTGTTTCAATAGGCAGTGGGTAGTCAACGGTATCAGATGACACAGGAAAATCAAGTCTGAGGCGTGACCATGATTTGGCGGTTACAGCTTAGTGAGTTAGGAAGCAGTGCCCAAACAGTGAGGGGGACAGGGCACTGCACTGTGTGGATTGAGGAGTGAATGAGAAGATGCAAATCATATTTTTTTTTTACTATTTTACTTTATATAATTCTTATATCATATTCCATTTCTGCACAATGTATCATTTTCATTTTGGTTATATTCCCCATACAATTGCACCCCCCTTATTTTGACCCTAATCCTTCCGCTCCCCCTTGTCCCCCCGCCCCGGTAGTGTGTCTCTGGTTTGTAGTTGCTTGTTGATAATATTTTTAAGAAGTTTGGCTGCAAAGAGAAGCATAGATGTGAAACAAAGTTTGACAAGAGACAGGTTTTCTTAAGAAAAGATAGAGTTGGGCCAATTTGACTAAGCCTCAGGGTGTCAGGATAAAGGATTCAAGTTCACCATTTGCTGACTGAGGTTTGGGGGTGGGAGCAGGGTTCTTGGGCAGCAGGGGATCTGGCTAGGTAGTGGGGTTGGGGAGAAGTGACATTGGAAGCCAGACCCCTACTGCCACCCCCTCTCTCTCTCCCCAGAGCTGGAGCTGGCCATTAGGATCACCCTCTATGCAGTGATCTTTCTGATGAGTGTGGGAGGAAACATGCTCATCATCGTCGTCCTGGGACTGAGCCGCCGCCTGAGGACCGTCACCAACGCCTTCCTGCTGTCCCTGGCGGTCAGCGACCTCCTGCTGGCTGTGGCCTGCATGCCCTTCACCCTTCTGCCCAACCTCATGGGCACGTTCATCTTTGGCACGGTTGTCTGCAAGGCGGTTTCCTACCTCATGGGTAGGTGAGGCGACCCCCTGCCCCTCTCCTTGCCCTTGGGCAGGGAGGGGCACAGCCCAGTGGAGGTTGGAGGGGTCATGCTGGTGAATGCGTAGTGCCAGTTGCCTACCCGAACCCTTCCTCTCCCCTGTGTAGGGGTGTCTGTGAGTGTGTCCACGCTGAGCCTGGTGGCCATCGCGCTGGAGCGGTACAGCGCCATCTGCCGGCCTCTGCAGGCGCGCGTGTGGCAGACGCGCTCCCACGCGGCCCGCGTGATCGTAGCCACGTGGATCCTGTCGGGACTGCTCATGGTGCCCTACCCGGTGTACACCAGCGTGCAGCCCGCGGGGCCCCGGGTGCTGCAGTGCGTGCATCGCTGGCCCAGTGCGCGGATTCGACAAACCTGGTGAGGGATCCCATTGCTTGTTCCCGGGGTTTTCCTTCTCCATCCCCATCCGATGCTTGGGACCATGCCCCGGACCCCTCTAGCTGCACCAAGAATCACCACTCCATTTCCCTTCCTGCAACCACCAGCTTGGAATTCCTACTTGGGGCGTCTCCCCAGTTTCTAGCCCTTCCCAGCAGCACCCCCAAAGGCTACTCTCCTACCTCTGAGACCTGGTCACTATCCCTAGAAGTTTTTTTTTTGTTTTTTTGTTTTTTTTTATGCATACTAGGGCTGGGGTACAGGCCAGAGGTGTGGGGGGTGAGAGGATTCCCCAGAGACAGAGTGGGGAACAGAACAGGTAGACTGAATGAAACACACTGCTGAAGGGAGCAGCATGGAGACAGGAGAGGTCTGCTGCGCCATGTGGGTTGCTCCCTGGTCGGCCGGGGATCGAACTCGTGCTGCAGAAGCTGCAAATTGCTTCATAGTGCGGTGCTTAACCCCTTGCGCTACCAGGGACGCCCCAAAGCTCTTGGAGGTTCTTCCATGGGTGTTACTGCCGGCCAGAGTCCGAGACTGGTATGTGTCTGTCCCCAGGTCGGTGCTGCTGCTGCTGCTGCTCTTCTTCGTCCCGGGCGTGGTCATGGCGGTGGCCTACGGGCTTATCTCCCGCGAGCTCTACTTAGGGCTTCGCTTTGACAGTGACAGTGACACCGATAGCCAGAGCCGAGTTGGAAACCCAAGAGGGCTGCCAGGTGGGGCAGGACCTGGCGGGTCCTATCCAGGGGGTGTGGCTTTCAGGGCGGGGCCTGGAGTGGCTGGGACGCAAGGTTGGGGAGACGCAAGAGAGGCTGGGGCCTGGGCGTCAGGAGGCTTGGGCGAAGTGGAAACGACTCAACCTCTGCTCTCGCCTCCCCCCTCTGTTCTCAGGTGCTGCCCACGCGAACGGGCACTGCGGGTCGGAGGCGGGGCTGGCAGGTGAGGACGGCGACGGCTGCTACGTGCAGCTCCCGCGCTCGCGCCCCGCCCTGGAGCTGTCGGCGCTGACCGCGCCCACCCCCGGGCAGGGGTCGGGCCAGCGGCCCATCCAGGCCAAGCTGCTGGCTAAGAAGCGAGTGGTGCGGATGTTGCTGGTGATCGTTGTGCTTTTTTTCCTATGCTGGTTGCCCGTTTATAGCGCCAACACTTGGCGCGCCTTCGATGGCCCCGGAGCGCATCGAGCGCTTTCGGGCGCACCCATCTCCTTCATCCACCTGCTGAGCTACGCCTCGGCCTGCGTCAACCCCCTGGTCTACTGTTTCATGCACCGTCGCTTTCGCCAGGCCTGTCTCGACACGTGCGTGCGCTGCTGCCCTCGACCTCCACGAGCCCGCCCCAGGCCGCTTCCGGAGGAGGACCCTCCCACGCCCTCCATCGCTTCCCTGTCCAGGCTGAGCTACACCACCATCAGCACCCTGGGGCCCGGCTGAGGCGTGGAGGGGGAGCAGGGGCTGAGGCGGGATAGACCGAGTCCAAACACACACCCTCCAGACACTAAGAGATACAGACTAAGACTGACCCGCGGGACTGTCACCAACAAGATGGACTCACTCCCATGCACAGGAGGTGGCTTGTCCAGCACAAAGGAAACAAGCAGGACACCATCACAGGACACAGGCACGCTCTGGGTATGGGGCTGAGCCTGACACTTGGAAACCTGGCACTGACCTCGGACACACATGCAGTGTCCCTGGCAATGGAAGCTCTGACGGGGCTGTCCTGCCTCGCACACACTTAGAATAAGGCACTGATTCTGCTGGGGCTAGGGCCCAGCATGGGGCTGCCTCCTGAGAGGCTGCAGGCTGTGCCCAGTCTGACCTCACAGTGTCCTTCCCCAATCAGCACTGGAAACACCAACCTGCCTAATCACACACTTCCTGCCCAGCAGGCTGTATTGCACTGAAAAGTCCCTTTATTCTTTTCCAGGTAAATACTACAGCCCTGCCCCCTCCTCCCTCAGACAACCTCTACAAGAAATAATAAATGACTTGGTTTCCTCCTAAACTTCCTTTCTGGACTTTCTGGGGGCAGATAGGGAGGCGAGGGATTTGAAGTTCTCCCTGTTAGGTCTCCCCACCTGCCTCCTACTCCTGAGCACAACCCCCTGCCAAAAAGCCTGTGGAGGCTAGAGGGGCTGTGTCCAATCCCTTAGGGTCATAGGTAGTAGCTGGGAATAGGGGTGGGGGCTTGGAGAGGAAACGTTCATGACACATCAGAATTCCTGAGCACCTTCTCCTGAAGTGGTGCCATTTTTAAGGAATCAAGTAAATTTTTGAGAAGAGATAAATAACACTCTATCATGATTTTGTTTATCCAATGTGTGTTTGAAATGCTAGGTAGTGGGGTTGGGGAGACAGATGTACAGCCCATGACAGATGTACAGAGGTTAATAAGACAACAGGGTCTTTTTCATGCCCTCTATCCCAGTGTCAGGGCCTGGTCAACTTTCCGGTCCCAGGAAGCACCCTTATGGAATAACAATAGCTAAGACTGGGGGAGAGGCCCACACCTAAATAGGAGTCTCAGTGCCCAGCCTCTTTGACCATAAGATTGATCCAGCCCCAGAGAGAGAGTGAGAAACATCACCCTTTTGTATACACAGTGCCAAAGTGACAGGGAAGGACAGATGACCTTACCAAGTGGGTATACGCGGATAATCTGAGGCCTGGTATTTTGGCAGAGGGCTTCCTTGACACTTCGTCTTAGAACAGATGGGGAAACTGATACCCAGAGCAGGAAAGGAAGCTGCTCAAGGTCATGCAGGAAGCTAGAGCAAGATGAAAATAATCCTATTCAAATTGCCACTGACTTGGAGATAGGGCAGAGACCAGTCAGGGGCAGACCCAGCTATTATGGGGCTTGGGGCTTGTAAAATTGTGTGCCTTTTTTTAAAGAAAAAGAATACAAAATTACTGATACAAAATTGCTAGGTGACCAAGCAGGGCCTTGGAAGAGGCCGGCACAAATGAGGAGCCCTGAAATGCAAGCCTCATTGGCTTCACAGTCAATGATGTCTCTAAAGTCCACCCACTATCTTCAAGCATGGAGTGAAAGGCAGTGAGAAAGGAGACCGATCTTGTATTTGCCATCCATCCTTTTACAAGGTTCTAGGCTGCAAAAGGCAGGAAGGAGGAAGAAAAGAAGGAGAAGGCGTTCCAAGCTGTCAACTACCACAATGCAGGTTAAAAATAGAATCCCAGCTGGTCTGAGGAGCTGAAGCGAGATATTGGGCTCTTCTCTCTCATGCCAACGTGCACAGGGGACTGAGGAGGCTTTCCAGCAGGCTTTGCATCAGTCCTCACGCCCCACCTCTATTCCCTCCATTCCCTCTGAAGAAGGTAACAGCCTTGATCAATCTGCCCACTGTCAGCTCCTTCGCTGGGGCCTAGACTCCTGGACCACCAGATGGCAGTGGTGAGCTGCATGGGGGCGGGCTCAGTCCAGCCTCTCCTTGGGGTGTGAGCTTAAAGGCCTGGCCCAAGCCATCTAGAACCCAGCACCCAGACGTGGCCTGAATAACATCATTTCACATGATCTGCAGCCCTTAATTATGTGACACTCACACACATACTCTGTGCCCTACCCATTGTGGAAGCCCGGGATCCTCTCACCTATGTTTCATCTCTTGAAATCTGACACACTTTGGGCCCAATGTTAATACTGCTGTCTGTGTGAGATCCTGCTCAGCGGTCCCAGCTTGTCTGCTCACACAGTGCTTATACTTTTTCTCTCCCATCTCGGTGGGTGGTGTTCCTGCCTGATTTCCCATTAGGGGCCAGGAATGGCATGATGCCATGAGCCTGGGCCTAGAGGGCAGGGGTGGAAGAGAGCGCTGGTCAAATCCAGTGCACCTTCATGCTGTGTGGCCGGTGTCTTACGTATGCCAAACTCACTGCATTCTCAGAACTCTTCTACAGAGCAATTGCCTTCATTTTACACAACGGGAAAGTGAAGCTGAAGGGAAAGTCTGAGGGAGTTCCAGGGGCTCCTCCTCGAGGCTGGAGATGTCTGACTCCACAGTCTCTTCTCTTGGTCACGCCGTGTTGCCTTCTTCAAGCCATCAGGACCTGGGTTCCAGCCCTGCCTTTCAAATGATCTCAGAGTCTCAGGCTCATCGATCAAATGGGAAGAATGACATTAACCTCACACTGACATTTTGGGAATTAAGTAAAGCAGTTGTTCAAAAATGCCTGTAATTGTCCCTGACGCATAGCACGAGAGGGTTAGACTGGAGATTGGTTTACACCAGAGTGAAGAAACAACAGCAGGAAACCAGGCCCCCTGCAAACACAAGGCAGCCCTTCACGGAGGGAAGCGGGGTCTGAGGGGTGGCTCAGGGCCTGCTATGAGGTGGCTCAGAAAGCGACATAGTCAGACTTTGAACCCAGGTCTGTGACTCCAGGCCTGTGCTCCTCTCAGTAAACATCCTGACTCTCATCGCCCAGAGGGGCACTCGGGGTTAGGGAATAATGAAATAGTTGGGAGCAATTAGAAACCACTCTAGACTCTTCTCAGGACTCAAAGTAGGAAAACTGGTGAAGTAATAGCTATGCAGTCTTGGACCCTCCAGTGAGCCCCGCTTTCACCATCCCAGAGACAACCCCTCTAGAAAATCAGAGAAGGGCAGCTGTCGTGGAAATCTCACTCACAAACCTTCTCCACAAAGCAGGTTTCTGGCTGCTGAGAGTCCAGTGTCTGAGAGTCCAGGTGATCTGGGGGCAAGCCAGAGAGGGGGCGGTGTCACGGTGAATGTGCACAGAGCCGCTAGGCCAGACGCCGGCTCCCTCACGGAGAGCTCGGGCAGAGGCTTGGGTGGCTGGGCTCTCGTCAATCAGGCCTGACTCATGGGGAACAGAGATGCTTTATGCAAGAGAAGACTTCGTTCCTGCAAGTTATCTCTGGAAAGAACAGGTGGGAGGTAGGAAAGAAAGTAGAGAGGAACAGGAAGAAGTAGGCCTACCTGGGTCAAAGCTTTGCTGTCAGGATTTAATACCTGGAGGCAGGATCCTCCAAAATGGCTGCTCTTAGTGTAGATTTGAAGGATGGTCCTTTAGCTGTTTCCTGTTCTCTGAGCCTCATTCGTTGTGCCCCAACCTTACAGGGCACTTGGTCAGCCAAACTTTTGCTTCATCACCAATATCAAGCACAAAAATTGACACCTCCCTCTTGGTAGGGCCCAGTCTTTTTGAAACAGCCTCTAACCCACCCAGGTAGCCTGAGGAAAGGAAAGAGCTGACCAGTTAGACCAAAAGAAATAAGACTTTGTCTTAATCAAACAGTTTTGAACCCTAGAATCCTAACTAGGTATGTAAGTAGTGAGAGATAAGACATGGATGGACTTTTGAGGAATGTACACTTGAACAATAAAGCTGGGTTAAGTGATAAAACTGTCCAGTTTCCCAGGGTGAGACCAGTGAACTTTGAGCAACAATATGAGAAAGACAGAAACATAAGACATTCCCTGGGGGGCGCACGATCCATCTGTTTTAGGAAGAAAGGAGACACCACTGCATGTGGGCACGGAGGGGCAGAGAAGCAGGAGAGAGGGGAGGAGGGTATAAAGAAGAGTGGAGGGCAGGGGGACAGTGAGCATCTGGGGAGGCCCAGCACTGGATGGGAGGTAGGGAGGGAGCACTAGGAGAAGGGCCAAGATGAGGAGAGGGTGAGTTTGAGGGTGACCAGTAGCGGATGGAGAACTGGTGCACATGGAGAAGGACCGTGAAATAGAGGATGGAAGCTGCCCTTGGGGAAGAAAGCACTTAGGAGGAGAGCCAGCTGCCGACTTTCTCCGCAAGGAGGCACCTCACTGGGATGGGGAAAACAGTCCTGCCCTGGAACCCTGAAGTAGCTGCCTGTTAAGCCTGGATTCTAAATGCTCTGATGACCTGGCAGGGCTCTTACCAGCTGTACCTCCAAGATGCTGCTGGAACAATTGTTTAGGGTTTTTTAATCCTTGGGATCTGGCAAAATGCAAAACCTGTACTAATCCTACCTCCCAGGCATGTAACACTTAATGAACCCTTATAACGTGCTTCCTTGGTTCTCACCCAGTCCGTGCAAAAACACTGGTAATGTCATGCGATGGTCACATTCTTCCCTTTTTGAGACCAAGTTCAACATAGACAATCATACCCGGAGCATTTTGGATTACTGCCTCTGTGATGGTGTCACTCGACATGTTTGAAACTCCTCATATGCAAAGTATAGATAGCCAAACCTAATTTATAAGGACAATTGCCAGGATTAAATTTGGGTAGAGTTCTATATAGAACACCTAACAGCTCCTAGTATATATTAGAAGGTCCTGTTCTACACAAATTCTCTCCCAAATTGTGTTTCTGGTCTGTTTTGTACAAATTTTATTTCTCATCTAGGTGTCCAGTACCAACTCTCTTCCTGCCTCCTAACATCTTGAAATACTTCTATCTCTATAACATATTTCCTTCCATCCTTTTTCAAGGGCCAGAGGATTCAGAACAACAAGTCCTGACTTGTTGGACCCCATAAGGGTCCATTCCATTCTAAAAGTGACCCAGAGCATCACCCAGTGAATATACTGGGTTTACAATCCTCCATTCCACCTTCAATCAGTTTTTCCTCTTTTCTATCTTTTGCTCAGTTCTTAAGGTATGATTCAGCAACATTAACATCTCCTGGGAGGTTGTTAGAAATGAAGAATCTCAGGCCTATCCTGCGTTTTAATAAGATCCCCAGGTAATTCCTGTACATATTGAAGTTTTGGGACAGATTTTTTAATCCTCATTTATTTATATCTAAGTTCATTTTCAGCCCCCAGGCTCCAGGCTCCCTTTTTTCATATGCTTTTCATTATACAAGCATTCCCTGGCTGCTGAGCTAGCTGGCCCCCAGAATCTGCCATCATCATCCTGCAGGGATTCCACATAAGAAGCCTCACTTTTGTTCATTGTAGACTCCCCAATAATGACAAAAATAACCCAATCCAGTATGATGGGTTATCATCTGCAGATAAATG